GAGGTAAAAGACTCTTAGAACTATAATTAATTTTGTTTTGAGTTTGAATTTGGGTATAGTTGTCTCATTAAATCAGTATTTCCCATTTTTCCTATTGTGATCCTTTAAGGAGGAATGTTTCTTACCATGTGCCAAATTTTGTTCATACACTATTAAACTTGTTAGAAATATTTCCAGACAAAAATAATTTATTATATGGATGATAAACTTTGCAGTTGTCCTAATACTACCAAACGCTCCTTATTAATGCCCAAGTTTTAACAAGCCTTTCAGTCTCATAGATTTATAATTACCCCTGACAAGGTAAAGGTATCACCCTTTGCTTACTTTAGGTATATTGTTCTACAGTCTACAAGCATACCACCAAAATGTTACAAATTAATCAAGATTCCTTGATAATTTTTAATAAGTTTCATACAATTTTTATGGATATTAATTACTTTTAGCTTGTCTAATAAATCACCACTAATCAATTATTTTAAGATGAATTTAAACTACTAGGATAACAGATAGCTAAAACTCAATTCATTTCCCCTTAATTTGTGGGGCATATTTTACATTTACTGAGAGCTGTTATTTTCTCCGCCCACTGTTTGTGCTTTTTCTATCCATAAAACTGACAAAATACAAAATGAAATCTAATGAACTTGTTTGGGTTCCTTAAAATTCATCTGTTTTTATTATTGCAAAGTAGTCAGGAAAATTAACGATGCTTTATGACTTCCCAGCCTTTGATAGTTATTGATTTAAAAGATTGCTTTTTTACTATTCCATTACAAAAAGCTAAAAATGATACATTACATGGATGACATTTTATGTGCTCATCCTAATCCTGAAGTGTTAGAAGAAATTTTACAAAAAACACAAGAATTGTTGCAAAGTCATGAGCTTCAAATAGCCCCAGAAAAGATTCAAAAACATCCACCATTTCAATATTTAGGCCATCAAATACTTCAAGAGAAAATAGTTTTACATCCACCAACAATAGACCTACAAAAATTGAAAACACTTAATGATTTTCAGAAAATTATAGGAGATATACAGTGGCTTCAGTCACAGGTTGGCATTCCAAATTATAAATTGATACCCTTGTATGATTGCCTTAAAGGTGATCCTCAATTAGATTCACCCCGGATACTGACCCCTGAGGCAAAGCAAACATTGTTGTATATTCAGGAACAAGTAGTTGGAGCACACACAAACAGGATTGATAGGCATGAAAGTGTGGAAGCTTCTATATTTAACACCCCAAATTCTCCAACAGCAGTAATACATCAGAAACAAAGGCTTTTAGAATGGGTATATTTACCGTCTCAGTCAAAAAACACTTTAAGTAATTATATGGTCCTGATAGGGGACTTAATACATAAAATTGATAACAGATGTTTAAAATTATGTGGCACGCATCCAGAAGTCATATACCTTCCATTTTCTCAACAAATAATTGAAATGGCAATACCAACAATGCCCAACTGGCAAGTTGAAGCTTGTGTATGGAAAACCCCTTAAATATCATGTAATCTTTGAGAATTGGCCTTGGATACAACCCACACATACATCAGGTGAACCTGTATACGGAATTAATGTCTTTACTGATGCCACAAAGATGAATAAGGCTTCTATCTGGTGCCCTAAAAGAAAGGAATTACAGGTGATTAATACACCTTTTACCTCCACACAACAGAATGAATTATATGCTGTCTATTGTGCCTTTCACAAATATAAGGAGCCAATGAATATCATCACAGATAGTAAATATGTAAAAGGAATCCTAAAACACCTAGAGACTGCAATAATAAAAAATACTGGTAATAAGATCTGTCAGTTGCTTCATGATACACGACATTATATACAGAATAGGACAGAAAAATTTTATGTTTTGCATATTTGGTCCCATACTCTTGCTCCAGGACCAATTTTTGAAGGAAATGATTTTGTTGATAAATCTTTAACAATGAATGTGGAAATAGCAAGGAATAGTCATAATCAATTACATTTATCTGCTAGGTCTTTAAGAACTTTATATGGCATAACAAAATCACAAGCACATGAAATTGTTAAGCGCTGTGCTACTTGTGTGCCTTTTCAGCCCCCTTTTCATGTTGATGTACACAACCCCAAGGGACTTACACCTAACACCTTATGGCAAATGGATGTTACTCATTATTCTCCCTTTGGAAGACAAAAGTATGTTCATGTTTCTATTGATACTTATTCAGGCTTTATTTTTGCTACTGCTCAAGCGGGTGAGGCTGTCCGCTATGTTATTAATCATTTGCTTCATTGTTTTTCTTTCGCTGGCCCACCTCAATGCTTAAAGACTGATAATGGTCCTGCATATATTTCACAGGGTTTTAAAAAGTTTTGTACTGAGTTCTCTATTAGTCATACTACTGGCCTTCCTTATAATCCTCGTGGTCAGGCCATAGTTGAACGCGCCAATCGTACATTAAAGATGGTGCTCCAAAAACAAAAAGGGGGAGCTAAGGGATCCCCGTGGCATCAATTAAACACTGCACTCTATACTATAAATTATTTAAAATTCGACAGTTGTAACCTCTCTCCTGCAATGAAATATCTGGCAGGAAATGACAACAGTACTAGTGACACCACTAAATCCTAAACACAATATGAAAGTCACGTGAATAGACGTTGATGGTGTCTGGCAGGGCCCAGGACAACTGCTAACCTGGGGCAAGGGTTTGTTCTTACTTTCACAGGTGATGGAGAACTTGGGGTCAGAATGAAGGATGTCTGAATTATCCATTCAGAAGGGACAAGGCAAGCAGAAAAGAAAACACAGACCGGCCAGGAATCGAAGGAGTCGAAAGAATAAGAAGAAGGCACTACACGAACTTGTAACCAAGCTGTGACTCTTGTCGTTATTGTCGGCAGTGGTACAGAACACAGCAGCAGACAGGAAATACAACAACATGGACTTTTGTGACAAAATCACCATGGCCAAGACTGGCTACATGAGGAGAGACAATACCTGAGGTTATTTTACAAGGCAATGCATCTGCAGGATTGGGGAAGGAATTTAATTTTACACCTCAAAAGAATGGGTCAATTACAGCGAAGTTTAATTTTCAAAGATTGGTATGAGTCATGTTCTGATCATATTTTTGGAATAATAGACCAAAGAAATCAATTAGCAATTGTTAGGAAGAAGAGATGTATTTCATGTGTAGTATTAGGAATTGTATCGCTTATAGCTATTATAACTGCTTCTGTATCTTTATCTCAATCTATATCTACCATAAGAAATGAAATGGTTCAAGCTGATTTTATGAATCAATTAGCTCGCAATGTATCAAAGGATTTTCAAGCACAAAAAAGGATAGATGAGGGATTTTACCACATACTTGAGGGAATGAAGGAAACCATTATTGAAATAGGTAATGAATTGGATATTTTAGAATATAGAACACATTTGAAATGTGATTATAGGTATGAATTCATTTGCCTTACCAATGTTAAATACAATGACTCCTGATGGGAGTGGCAGAGAATACGTAGACAGCTGAATGGGCTATTTGGGAATTCTACTGTTGCATTGGATATTGATGATTTATATAAAATTGCTGACGATATTTCGAGGGCGGCTGATGAAGATTTGATGCCAGATGAGACTGCCCAACATATACTTGATTGGCTAGATGAACTCTGTAACCCTTTTGATAACCTTGGACATTGGCTTATGTCTTTGTTATCTTCTATATTGCCATTATGTTTGCTATTGCTGGCCATGCTCTGTTTTGGACCGTGTTTGCTCAGGTGCATTGCTAATTGGATAAAGGACCTTGGGACTGAGCTTCATGTGCTCCGTCTCCGGCAAAAACAAAAAGGGGGAATTGTTAGGCATCTGTAAGGATGTAGAAGGCCACAGACAGTTCACGAGATCTCACTGAAGGGCTGAGGCCCCTCTCGGGTGCTGGTCTGCGAGCAACGTTGCCTGGTTCAGTGCTCCATTCTATACATCTCTAACTTCCCTAGTTACTCATTAGTCATTAACGGTGTATTTGTGATTGGTAGTAGGTAAGTTCACCGACTGTGCATGCACTGTCCTTGAGCAAGTCATTGTAACTTGAGAGAGTTCCTGTTATTTTACTATATAAGTAAGTGCTTTGCTAAAAATAAATGGAGTTGCTGCCATCTTTTCTCCCACCTCATCAAGGAGTGCTGGGAGTGAAAGATGAAGCTGGTCTTGATTCTTCAGGTGATTGGGAAGTCCTAGGTCCTAGGTGGGCTCTGTAGCCCAGTGAACTAGTTGTGCACAACAGTAACCTACTCTAGGAGGTGTTTAACCAATGTTTATTAGCTTGAAAGGGAGGGAAGGGGGAATGTTTCCAGGCTTCTCCCAATGAGAATTAGAGAGGGAAAAAACAAATCAAGACAGCTGGGAGTATGGCCGAAGTTTCTGGGGATTTGTGGTAGTGATGAGGCTTAGGCAACTGCGCTGATTGATGGACGAACTAAATCTTCATTAAGAGAGACCCAAGAAAAAGGCCTCTAAAGTGAGCCCAGAGTTAGCTTCTCCAAGTCCCAAGATTCATCTGGAAGCCACAAAAAGGGATGGAGATGTGAAATAAAATTCATTAGCCCTGTGACATCAGCCAACAGCTGCAGAAAAGATAGTGAGAAAATATAATAAGAGAAGAGGAGGGCAGAAGCCCTGATCCCCACTATGTCAAGAGCCGCACATTTTAAACCAACCTCCTCCTTTCCCCCTGGAATACAGTGATTGTAGACTCCAGAGTGGGAGCCCAGCTTTCACCTTTTCTGCTCTTCTGGGAAGATCTCAAGGAGATCCATGCTTTCTATCCAGTAGAGGGTAGAGGGTGGGGCCTTGGTGGGTCTGTGGCTTTTCTGCCCATATTCCTTCTGTTTCACCCATTCCTAAGGCAGTCAGCAAGCTCCTGACTCAGGAGGAGTCCACATTCCTGAGTCAGCCTGCTTCCTCCTCCTCTGCTCCTCCCTGCCCAGTAGGAGTGAAGCTTCCGTGCTGGAAACATCCCCGGGGCTCTCTCTAGCTCTTGTGATCCTTCTTCTCACACCACTTGGTATATGGCTCTCTGAGCTGTCCCTAGCACCGTTCCCTGACGGGCTCTGCCATCTGTCCCACACCAGGCTTGGAAGGTGGGGTCATTTCCTGGCTGCAAGAAGATAATAAAACTGTTCCCAGAAAAGAGGCTCACTTAGAACAGTTATGCCAAATGTAGTAGGAGGCTGGAAGCTGGAGGAGATCCTGAGTCCACGGAAGAAAGCTGCCAGGCCTGCCCAGAGGGGGAAGAAGCCAGAGAGGGGAAGAGGGTAAGAATACAGCTCTTCTGTGTGCATCCCCTGCAGTGGAGCCAGTCCCCTTGGGCAGTTAGAGCTTCCCTTGTGCCTAGGGGCAGAGTGCAGGGTGTGAGGAAGGGCTGATTGAGTTTAGGAAGCTATTTCTAAATTCAGCAAGATCACAGAATAATAGCATTTCAGAGCTGGCAGGGATGCTTGAGATGAGAAATTGTAGGAGAAATTGTCAGGGTCTACTCTGGAGCCACCCTGGGCCTCAGTTTCCTTTTCTGTAAAATGTGAACTCTAAGATTCTTTCTAGATCCTAATGTCCTATGATTCCAAGTTCTAAGTCCTTGGGCTTCTTGATGTGTCAATCACCAATTAAGAATAATTTTATATTTGTAAAACAGAATTGTATCTCTGTCCTGTCCACCTCAGAAAGATGCTATGAAAATGAAATGAGATGTGTCTAAAAGGGCCACACAAATGTCAGAGATTGCTCTGTGGAGTTCCATAATGGAGATGCTTGTCTCTTTTATGGGTTCCCAGGGACTGTCATAGTGACACCATGTCACATCTATAACAATAAACATCTCTGTCCCGTCTCCCAGTTATTGGCCAACTTCCTAACAGCTTGCTTCCCACTGCCCCTCTCTTGCTGGATTTCTGGGCTTGATGGCAATCCCATTGGAAAATCCTGGAGCTCTGGCAATAAGGAGCTGAAGTGAAGCTGTGGGACCTGGGATCTAAAGTGATTAAATTGATCATATGCTTCTTGTAGAATTTCCCATTCGTTTCTTAATTCAGTTTTTAAATTCTATAGTCATAACTAGTCTCCACTTTCAAGGAGCAACCTGGCTAGTAAAATAGATGAAGTAGTAATAGCTAAATAAACCGAAACATAAAGAGCTATACAAATTAGAAAATGAACAGCACACATTTTGTTGTTGTTGAGCTGTTTCAATCGCACATATTTTGTTGTTGTTGAGCTGTTTCAATCATGTCTGACTCTTCGTGACCCCATATGGGGTTTTCTTGGCAAAAATACTGGGGTGGCTTGCCATTTCCTTCTCCAGCTTATTTTACAGATGAGGAAACTGAGGCAAACACGGTGACATTACTTGCCTAGGATCATACAACTAGTACATGTCTGAGGTCACATTTGAACTCAGGAAGATGAGTCTTCCTAAAATACCTGTTAGGGGCCTATAAAATGCTATACTGAAGCATTATGGTATATGGATAGGACTCAGAGACAGGAAGGCCTGGGTTTAAATTCTACCTCAAACACTGACTAGCTAGTCACTTAACACCTCTTAGCCTCAGTTTCCCCATCTATAAAATGTGGAATAGCACCTACCTTACAGAGCAGGATGAATATAATATAATGTATAGCATTTTTCTAAAATGAATGTGCTGTATAAATATCAGTGGATATCATTTTTTTTCAGAGGGGGAAAATAATCACTTCTGGCCTACAAGATCAGGGAAGGGTTTTTGGAAGAAGTAGGCCTTAGCAGTAGTTACATCTTCCTTTTGGGAGTAGGGGGTGGGAGGAGGGATGTTGGGAAGGGGGAGCATCCCAGATATATGGAATGGTATAAAAAAAGGGAAGGAAGTAGCAAAGTCTGGTTGTGTTCAGATAATAGCGTATAGTCCCATATGTTAAGAGAAGTTATAAGAGAAAAAGTTGGAAACATAGCTTGGGGTCAAATTATGGAGTACTTGAATTCCAGGCCAAGGTGTACAGACTTTATGTAGTCAGCAAAGGGAGACATTACTAGCTATTTACCAGGTCAGGCTAGCTTGAATTAGGGGCACAGTCTGTGATTCAACAGTAGAGTTTCTCTCGTTATAAAGCTACCTGATTCATAAAGATATTCCCATCATTACCTCTGACCTTGCGGGCATCCTACTTAAAGCATCAATCAGAAGTAATACTACTAGCCAATAGCAGAGATTTTAGAAGAGGTTAGGTTATAGTTTCTTAGGGGTAGTGTTGTCTTTCTGTATGTCATAGCAGCAACAGCCCAACAGATTGTTCACTTTTTATACGATATTACCTTATAATTTATTGTCATCTATATATCTATTACACCGAAAGATCTGTTGGTCATTGATTTGGGAGTTCCTTCAATGAACAGAAACACCACCCATTCCATACCTACCCATCTTGTGTGACTCCTGTCCACGTTCTCCCTAAAGACCATCAAAGGGGCTCCATTGTTTTTTGGCAACTAGGTGATACAGTAGATAGAGCCTCAAGATTGCAGTCAGGAAGACTCATCTTTCTGAATTCAAATCCAGCCTCAGACACTTACTAGCTGTGTGACCTGGGCAAGTCACTTAACCCTGTTTGTCTCAGTTTCCCCATCTGTAAAATGAGGTGGAGAAGGAAGTGGCAAACTACTCAGGTATTTTTGCCATGAGAACCCCAAATGGGTTCACAAAGAGTCAGAGATTACTGAAATGACTCAACAATTGATGTTTATTATCAGAAGGTTATTGAACAGGATTATTCCTGTCTTTACATCTTTCAAAGAGTCCTTAATGATTTTAATATATGGGTGGAAAATACCTCATCACTTTTAAGACCCTGTGGGGCAGTGTGTCGGGGCTCTCCCAAGTCAAATGCTTTTTTGGAGGGAGGGGCAGTGGTAATTGACAAATGAAAAGCATGACGGGATCTTACATTCTCTACATTTTTTAGATAATTATGAGATTGTGAAGATGAGGTCTATTGTTCAACAGTTTTTGAAAAAGCCTACTAAAATCACTTATTAAAAATCTTCATTTTGTGTTGTGATCAATTCATATGTAGATGACCCTCATAAAGATTTTGTTTAGATGGGAGAGGGGCATTTAAATTGGTAAAAACTGAAGTTCTCTTAGTCACCTTTTCTGGGTATTAAGATTTTTTTTTAGTCAAGATTTTCCCCCACATCTTTTGTGTCTTTACCTCCTTCAGAATATTGATTCCTCAATGCCCTTGCAATTGAATTTGCTTCAGCATGGATCTCCTCTCTATATGTACTTGGTCTAATATGGCATTTACCCCGTCTTTGTTCTCCTTGTTCCACCTTTCTCTTTGTTTATCTTTGTCTCATGATTTGTCTCTTCTATAAGCACTTCAGACTGTCTCTGAAGTTAGGGTCCAAAGGCGGCAATTCCACTATCCTTGATGGAGAAACAGTGTTGAAATGTTGGGCATTTTTTTTTCAAAAATCTTTTTATTGTAGTTCATTTTCATTCATGAACCCTTGGGATAATTGCTTAGATGCCCACCCCATTTCCCCCTATCCTCACCTCCCCCCCAAATTTACATTGAAATCACTATTGGTCAGAATGTATATTGACTTGATTTGGAGGAAGGTGGAATGTCAAATTCTTCATAGAATTTTTCTACCACTTCATCCCAGCAACCAATGATGATACAGAAACTACAGCTGTTTTCTTTTTGCAAGCACTTATCATTAAAACTGCAATATGGGATGACAAAAACAAAACAAAACCAAAAAATCTGGCCTCAGACACATAACACTTACTAGCTGTGTGCCCTGGGCAAGTCACTTAACCCCACCGCCTAGCCAAAAACAAAACAAAACAAAGCAATATGGGATGTATCTATACTGGGCAACTAGGTGGTGCAGTGGATTAAGAGACGGGTCCAGAGTCAGGAAGACCTGAGTTCAAATTTGGCCTCAGACACTTAATAGCTGTATGTCCCAGGGCAAGTCACTTAACCTCTGTTCGCCTTAGTTTCTTCAACTGTAGAATGGGGAAAATAATAGCACTTCCTTCCCAGGATTATTGTGAAGATCAAATATTTGTAAAGGGTTGCCACGATGCCTGGCACGTAATAGGTGCCATATAAATGCTTATTCCCTTCCTTTTTCCTTCCCCATAGTGCTTGGCATATAGTAAGCGCTTAGTAAATGCATGCTGACTTGAAATGCAAATGATAGATCCTTGAAGTCATTGTAAAATTTTTTCTATCCTCTACTAGATCCTAAGCTCCTCTTGGGTTGGGCCTGTACACTTATCTGTATCCCCTCCAGCAGCTAGCACATTATCCCGCATATAGTAGGCACTCAGTAAATGTTTTCCAAATTAAATTGACCCTATAAGTTAGAGACATTTGGTAGTTCCTTATTAAATGGTTCTGGTAAGTGTTATCTAGTGATGCTTGCTGGGAATTCCACATTAATATCTCCTTTTCTCCCTGACAGATGCATGGTACCAATATTAATTCCCATTAAATTTACACAGTAATATTAACTCCATTAACAGAGTAATATGAATATTAGCCTGTGTAGAGCTTTAAGATTTGCACAAAGATTTCCTTTATAACAATCCCACGAGGTAGGTGTTACGCAAGTGTTATGTTCTCCATTTCACACAGAAGACTTAAGGCTCAGAAAGGTTAAAGGACTTCCCCAAAGGTCACATAACTGGTGTCATAGGTGAGATTTTAAACCCAGGTCTCTAGACTCCCGGTTCAGCATTGCCTCATAACTGCCCCTCTCTGTCCTTAATCTATGATTTAAAAAAACATTCTTCAGGTTCAAAATTTCCTGAGCTAACCAGAAAATGAGGTAACCAACTGCTACGTGCTAAGTCTTGCTAAGTATTGTATGAGTAGAATACAGGCTATAAACTTTCTTAGTTCTATGTTAACAAAGCAAACTAGAAATTTCCAGGCAGGGACCATATTTGTTTTCTCTGATAATTGTTGGGACATAATCCTTTTTCATTTACTATTACTCAGAGGAAGAATGTTACAATGTAGTGTTTTAAATAGCTTTTACTTAGTAGCAGAGTAGAGGACATGCTTTGCATAGGAATACAAGCAGAAAAGCAATTTCGTATATAACCTCTCAAAGTAATAAGAAACACACCAAATCTACAACGTGAACTTCAGTGTTTGGGGATACTTTTTTCCTTAATTAAAAAGGGATGTTTTTCTTTTTCTTAGCTGCAGTATGGTCTGGTAAAAGCTATAAACTTTGCAGAATACAGCAGCATAAAGCTATTTCCAATACTATGAATGAAGATGGGTTTGAGGTAGAAAGGTGCTCATGGTTTTCCTCTTACATAAAACAAATTTTCTTTTCAAAATATCTATGCTGCAAATAGACTCCCAACCCTGCCTCCCCCCGCCCCCAATCAACCCCTTCTGAAAGAACAAATTTTACTAACTTTCAATCTCCTCCTGACCATGAGGGACCATCTTTTTTCCTTGTATTTTTATTCCTAGAACTTAGCAAGTTCTGGGCACATAGTAATTAATAATAAATGCCTATTTCATTCCTTTCTTCCCAGAAAAGAGCTGTCTTTCTGGTTCACACAGCACATGGCAGAAACAAGAGCACCTCCCTATCTTTCTGTATCCATTTGTGTTTCTAAAATTCAAATGAAAATGTGGACTTTCTCTAGGCATATGCAATAATATTTGGAGGGAGGGGGAGAACCTGTGTTCTACTTGTATATGTGTGTGTGTGTGTGTGTGTGTGTGTGTAGTATGTGTATGTATATGTGTGTGTGTGTATATATATATATATACATATAGATGTTTATATACACACACACACATTCTCTCTCTCTCTGTAGCTATCTACTAGAAAAAACAAGGAGTTAGATACAGGAAGCTGCAGGTAGGAGTCTGAGTATAAAATTTTGGACGTCCAGAGATGATTTTTACCTCCTCCTTTCCCCCCCTCTTCTTCCAGTTGCCTCATGGCTCCACTCAAAATCCCTGTGGCTCTTCAGGCCACCGCCACCCCCCATAAATGCTGTACTATTATGCCTCTTGTTTTTAGATTTGTGTTCCTTGCGCCTAGCACAATCCCTGGTATAGAGCAGAGGCTTAATAAATGCCTTTTCATTTATTCAGTTCAATGGAGAACCATGAATAGAACAGAGAAGTAATTGTAGAACAGCAGGAAAATATTTATTTCTGGCTTCTGTGAAAGACTATTTTACTGACGGTGGTTTTTTAGACACTGACAATCTTTCTAAGAGCAGCTAGGCGGCACATTGGATAGAGTGCTGGGTCTGGAGTCAGGAAGACTCATCTTCCTGAGTTCAAATCTGACCTCAGACAATTACCTGTGGTGTGATCCTGGGTAGGTCACTTGACCCTGTTTTCCTCAGTTTCCTCATCTGTAAAATGAGCTGGAGAAGGACATGACAAACCACTGAAATGTCTCTGCCAAGGAAACCCTGAATGGGGTCACAGAGAGTCAGACATGATGGAAATAACTGAACAACAAGAATCTTTCCCCACTGTGCCCCTTCCTCAAACACTTAGCTAGAGTCTCATGAGCTAGGAATTAACTCAAATGGGGACAACCAGAAACTTGCCTATCTTCCTTGCTCCTCGCCTCTCCTGTAATCCTGCTCTTCTATTTTCTGCTCCTAAATATATCCCCTACGTAGCTGATTACTGTTACAACACACACACACACACACACACACACACACACACACACACACACACACCTCATACACACATACATTCACACACATACACTGTTTCCTGGCTATTTGACCGCCTGTGCCCTGTGGCCTTTCTCCTGGCAAGTGATCTATTCTGAAGTCTTCATGGGAAGGTTCTGCTTAAAAGGTGGTCCTCATCTGCTTATAAAGGTTCTTCTGTGGCCATACAAGGCCACTGAACTTTATTTCCCTGGGGGGTGATGATGGGTGACTGAGAGGCTCAGAATGAAGCCTAGAATGACTCTCCCGGAATTTGGCTTAGAGAAGAAATCCCATGGAACACGCATCTGGAACCAGCATGCTTCTCAGAAGCCAGGTACAAGGAAGAGGACTCGCTTATCAACAGAACCTAGTCTTCTCTCATTGGAGCTAGGGAGCCTGCCCATGGAAAGGAAGCAACAGAGAAGCAACTCTTCAGGGTCAGATGTCTTAGGCAGCCGAGGGCAGTCCAAAAACATAGTTAGGGAGACTGGGCCCCAGAACGGGAAGAGTTTGAAGCCAGGAGAAGTCGGGGCAAGAATGCCCACGAGTAGATTCTAGAAAAGAACGAGACTTAAAGCTAGGGTCTGGGAGGTTAAAGGGGGTTACTCTTGCTCTGAGGCACTTGTGAGTGCTTTAGTCATCTTAGAAGATAATTACAGGTCCTAGTTATTGTCTTTCCTAGGTTTATTACAGTGGGTTATAAGTTAACCTCCTTTCCTCCTTCCTTCCCCATCCCTTCTAGTCCTTTCTCTTTATTGTTTTCTGCCCTTATTGCTGCTCTTCATATTTTCCTTAGGAAAGACCCTTGAGTTTGAATGACTTCTGGTCTTGGGTGAACCCTTCCTTATTCTATCATTGCCAGCGACTTCACGCCCTTGAAAAGATTCTCCATGACTTTCATGTGGGGCTAAAGAATATGGGACTCAGGCAAAGGGTTTTCTGTTCATTTTTTTTTAAATGAGGTATTGATTGGCCTCCCTCTATTTGTCTGAAGCGGATGGGTGAAAAATGCTGGAATTAAAGGGATGTAGAGTTTCTGTGTCATTATAATATTCCTTCCGAGTTGGGTAAGATGACAACTTTAGCATTTCTTCAGGATGGGAATGGACAGGGGGCTTTCCAAGGGAAGTCTGTGAAGAGACCAAACATAAATCAGCCTTTGCAGGAGCCAGCTCACAACTTCCCATGTTGTTACCAAAGTCAAATTCTCATGGTTGCCTCATTTTATGTACCTGAACTTCCCAGTTATGAGATTTTTCCTTGTCTACTGCTTCCTGTCTGCTCTTCTAAAATCCATTCTTTCTTCCATATTGCTGGATTTCTGTTTCCTAACCTTAAAGGAATGGTTAGCCAGCTTCACAAAAACTTTTGATAGCATGAAAGAAATAAAAGTAGGTATAAATTTAAAAAAGAAAAAATATAAAGAAGGTGAAGAACAGTGGAAAGATTCCTATGATGTCCTCACAAAGTGAGCTCAGCAGAATGAGAACAGCTTACACACTCACTACGACCCTATTTTAACCAAGAGCAAGAAAGGAGATAGGTCTTTATTCATGCAGCAGGATTTGGAAAGGAAACAAAAAAATATGTTTTGCTCGTATTTTGTCTTAATTTATATAATTCATATTTTTTCCTTCATCAAAATACCAACAAACGGAATTTGAAAACTCTACTTGGAAACTTACACCATCTCTGTTTTGATGATTGTTTTTAAAATTCTTAAAAGAAAAATAAATGAAGAAAAAACTTGATTTTAAGATAGCAGTCATTGAGAAATGTCCTTTGGAATTCACAAATTCCAGAACATTCCAGGAGGAATAATCTCTTTTCTCTCTTAAAATCAGGTTTGTGGCAGGGAATTTTTTGGTTGTGTTTTGGTATTTTTGAAGGCTTCATAAATGCTTTTCATTGTTTTTTTGCTATGGGAAAGAAGTAGTGAGGAGATAAGATCTAAAATTCTCTGATGACTGGTTAGGTTATAGTAATTATCAGGAGTATGAGTGAAAAATGGGGCCAGGATTGACTTTTCTGTATAAAACTCTAACTCAGAGATTTTGTTTTTTTGCATCCTGGACTCTTTTGGCAGTCTGAGGAAGCCTATGACCCTTCTCAGAATAATATTTTTAAATGTATAAAATGAAATACATAAGATGATAAAGAAAAACAATTCTATTGAAATAAAGATATGATTTTTTTTTCATTACCATCCAAATTCATGGATCCCTGACATCTATCTTTAAACCATTTGAGGTTATACGGACTCCAGGTTAAGAATTCCTGTTCTAAGTGTTGAGATCAAAGGGACTGAGCCCCAGGACTCCTTCACATCTTGTAGGAGATAGGAGGTGACTGGGGAAGGGGGGAGGTGGTGAGGTGGAATTGTGTTCAGGCATTGTTGGGCTGAGCCATGGCAGAGTAGGAGTTGGTAACAGGTAGGTTGGGGTTGGTTGGCTAGAAGGCAGATGTGCCAGCACTTGGATACCCAGCAGTCTCATACAGTCCATTTTTCCTGTCCCCAACAGGCTGCCTACTTGCTTCCTGCACAATGTTCTGGGTAAGCAGAGCAAGGCTGTTAGTCTTCCTGGCACTCCCATCTCTAGCTTTCCTCTTCCTCCAGCAGTTGTCCAGCCCCAGTCACTGTCCTGACGTAGCAGAGAAGTCAAGCCCTACACATGTGTTGATCTTGTCTTCGTGGCGCTCTGGCTCCTCCTTTGTGGGCCAGCTCTTCAGCCAGCACCCAGATGTCTTTTACCTGATGGAGCCAGCCTGGCATGTGTGGATGACCCTCTCCCTTGGCAGTGCTGGGCAGTTGCAGATGGCCGTGAGAGACTTGATTCGTTCAGTCTTTCTCTGTGACATGACTGTCTTTGATGCTTACATGGCCCAGGGTCCAAGGAAACAGTCCAGCTTCTTCATGTGGGAAACTAGTAGGGCTCTGTGTTCCCCACCTGCATGCCATCTCTTTAATAGAGAGGCCATCATCCCCTCAGCTGACTGTAGGATCCTGTGTGGCAAGCAGCCCTTCAACATGGTAGAAGAAGCCTGTAAGTCCTACAGTCATGTGGTGCTCAAGGAGGTGCGCTTCTTCAACCTGATGACCCTCCAGCCACTGCTGACCGACCCCTCCCTCAACCTGCACATCATTCACCTTGTGCGAGACCCCAGGGCTATGTTCTGCTCTCGGCAAAACACAGAACTGGAGCTGATGCACGACAGCCATGTTGTCATGGGGAAACAGTGGAATAAAATGAAGAGTGAGGACCGGCCCTATCACTTGATGCAAGCCATCTGCCAAAGCCAACAGGAGATCTATAAGGCGGCACAGTTGTTACCAGACTCCCTACGAGAACGCTACCTGCTAATACGCTATGAGGACTTGGTGCGGGACCCACTGACCCAAACTTCCAAACTATATGAATTTGCAGGGTTACCCTTCCTGCCTCATCTCCAAGTCTGGGTGCGAAACATCACACAGGGCAAGGGCTTGGGAGGCCATCCCTTCGACACAAACTCCAGGAATGCCCAAAGTGTCTCCCAGGCCTGGCGTTGGGCCTTACCACATGACAAAGTAGTCCAGTTACAGAAAGTTTGTAAAGATACCATGAGCCTGATGGGTTATCTTCCTGTATTGTCTGAGAAAGACCAGAGAAATTTATCAATGAATCTTCTATCTCCTCCTGAGATCCCCTAAAGCTGAGCAACCAATGAGTTGAATGAGGGTCTGGTTTTGTGCAATGGCTGTGGTCAGCTGAATGCTTTTGGGTCTAACTATGTTTTTCAATGGGCGTACATGTAAGCATCGCTGTTGTATGTGACTACATATGCTTAAATGAAGTTCCACATAAACATTTATGTGCAAACATAAGCAAAAATAGATTCAGGTGCCCTGTGAAAGCTAGATGGAACCAAGAAATGGAGCTACCTCTCCTTTGTGTTTAACCCTTCACCCCACCCCTCCCACCTCTCTCAGCTCTTATCTCATAGACTGTGGATTAATCCTACAAAACTGTCAGGCCATACCTTGTCCAATGGGAAGAAGGAGAGACAAGGCTTAGCAAGGACAACCCAAAACAAGACTTGCTATGGATACATATGCCCCTATTGCTCAGTCTCCCAGGGCATCTAGTCTGTTTTCTTGGATAAAAACACAGATTGGTGCTATGTTTCTACCAGGGAGCTGAATAGCCATGACTTAGAGAAAGAAATGTCTTTAAAATAAGAGAAAGCTCTGATTTCCATAGGAACCTGGCTATCCTTTTCCTTTTTCTTCCAGTTCAGGGACAGGTAGGTGAACAGATGCATGTGATATAGATGAGATTTTCAAAGTAGGGCCTCATATTTTATTGTGTTCCCTGATCTAAATATCCCTTGTTATCTGATTGTGACTAGAGATATATTCTCAGGGTTTCCTATTTCCTCTCTCAATGATTTAACCTTTCCGCACACTGATATTACTCATGCTATTTCCATATTGTTACCTTACCTAAGTAAGTCTATGCACACAGACCACTTCCAAGGATAAGACTGGGCACTCTAGGGTTTACTAAGTCTAAAATGCTAGCCTTTTTCTCCTCTTGAGTCCTTGAGGGAGAATGAATTGGAGAGCCAGCCAACAATACTGCATTTTGCGTGAGGGAGAATAGGGCTTTCCTCAAAAGTATTCTGTGCTGATCTGACTCCTATGTCATAGTGTTTCAGGGCTAAGAGTGTTCTATCTGTCCCAACCTGATCATGAAGATAAACTCTGTCCCTGTCAGTGCTCTCGATGGTATCTTGGCAACACACCAGCCTTCTCTCCGCCCAGAGATAGAAACCCCCTTCAGAATAATGTGAACACTTAAAAAATACGTTATAATCATCTTTCATATCAGAAGCTTGAAAAAATCCATTTCTTAAATTTGACTCAATGTATCACGGAGCATTGGGCTCAGTGGTTACTGGGATTGTGGTGATGGGAATAGTTATAGCATGCTGACAGGCTGGCACCTTCTTCAGAGTATGCTTTGACTGGGCTATGTGTGGAGCTAAATGACTCTCTTTGTCCTGATGTCTTCATCTTGCTTCTTCTAGGGAGAGAATTCCAAAAATCCAACAGCAATGTTGTTTCTTCCTTCTTGCCCCTCCTACTTCTGACAAAGCCACCTCTTCCCATCTAACTCTGTCTAGAAGATTCTTTTTCCTGTGAACAATTCTAGTCATGATGATTCTGGGTGGAACAGAGAAAACAGTGCAGCAGAGTCTTTAAGATCTGCTTTCATATGTCTTCCAATGACCCCATTTGGTTATGAGCTCAACTCTTTTCCTACATCTTCTTTTTTTGCTGAAGACCCCTTAATTTGCTGCTGGGGGTTACCTGAGATGCTTAGAGTTCAGATACTGTAAGTAAGATCGTGGCCTTTGCTAGCTAGAATCCTTGTATTATTTAGATGGTGAACCCTGAGCCTTCATGGAAATCCCTCACAAAGTATAGACTTTCCCTAGTCAAATCTTCCTTTCTCCTACAACCCCTCCCAAACAGAAGGGAAAGTGAACATTCATAGTCATCTGGGTGTTGGGGGGTAAGGCCAGGACACTGGAGTTAGTGTCTAGAAACAAGGCTGAGCTCAAGGTGGCAGTGCCAGCAGGGTGGAGGATGGTGACGAGTTGGAGCACAGGAAGAAAACAAACTTCCTTTCCCTTGGAAATCTCTGCAGCTGCACAAATTGTTCCAAAGGCAGCAGCTTCCTTAGGAACTGACAGGTCTGTCTCTATGACACTGGAGAAATACAAGGCTGGTTGTTGATTCTCTCTCTTTTCCTCTTTGCCTCATTTCAAAGCAAATGCTCTATCCGAAACCAAGGCAGGAGATATTATACCTGCAGAAAAGCTTCCAATTTTAACCGGAGCCCTTTCTGATAAGTATTTCAATTCCCTGGATGCAAAACCAGTTGCTTCTTTTCTGTCAGAGTCCTGTTGAGACATCTAAGACTTCCACCAGACATCCCCTTACTGGACAGTCTTTCTTTATTTTTCCATGAGATTTCATGTCTAACTTTTTACAGATAATCACAAAATATAAACTTTAAAAAATAGAAAAGCTCTTAAATAAAAATTGGTATAATATAATAATGTGAACTTTTAAAAAATAGAATGCAAACACATTTTATATCATAAGCCTGCCAAAAAATCCATTTCTTAAGGGAAAGTCTTTCTTCATTTTTCCATGAGATTCCGTGTCTGACTTTTTACAGGTAATTATAAAATAAAAACTAAAAAAAAAGAAAACCTCAAATAAAAATTTGCATAATATAATAATGTGAACACTTTTAAAATAGAATGTAAACACATTTTATACCATAAGCCTACCAAAAAAATCCATTTCTCTAATTTCATCCAATGTCTCACCTAGTATTGGACTTAACCACCCAATCAGGTGGCTATTTACTAGGATGGTAGTGATTGGAATAGTTATGGCAGCTATATACCAACATTAAAGGAACTCATGTTCAAATGAAGTTTGAGGTAAGCTTATAGAATTTGAAATTCTACTTGTGCCTTTCTAATTGGACTAAGATAACTCTTTTTACCTTCAACCCCTATTGGAGGACTATGTAAATGTCTCCTTTTACGATTGCAAAAGAAATATCTGGGAAAATTGCAGCTACTTCTCACCTTATTCTATTCCTTTAAATGAAGCCTGAAGGGTTAGGTTCAAATGTGGGTGAAAGTTAACACAGATTTGTAGTTCCCGAGAGCAAAAACAAATTAGGGCTTTGGGAATAAGCTACCTGATGTCCAGAGGTAATGACCTGAGGTGCTCAGTTATAGGATAAGTGATAGTTATGTTTATGGTGGGGCAAATTGGGTACCTGTCCAGGGTCTGCACTAAAAGTGGTTATGGTTTCCACAAAAATGCCTTTATCTGCAATTGTTACCATGTGTCCATAGCTGCAACATATCATCTTGGCTGCCACTTGGTTCCATGATGAGAATTACTAGACTAATAATTTCTTTCAGAAATTTTGATCTTTGTGAATATTTATTGAGATAGGCACAGGTTTGACTCCTGAATATTTTGATACAAAAAAATTTGTGTATTTGTAATATGTCTCAAAATAATAGGCTTAATGCTTGTGTGATATATTCATTTTCTTTCTAGTTGTAATAAAAGCTAACTTTATTGAATTATGCAATCAGTCCTGTATTAAACTCCTTTCACAGGTTAAATTCAAATGAAATTGTCTGACTTGTTCAACATTAAACCACTAAGGGTCCTTTGCCTGAGATCCCCACTGAGGAGATGCCTTTTAACTTTCCTGTTGCAACACTAGCAATTCTACTATAAACTGTATGGGGGCTACTGGCCTTCCACTTCCTCTCCTTTCACTTTCTCTTTGACCTTCTGCAATCCAGCTTCCAATCTTATCACTCCATTGAAAGTGCTAGTTCCAAGGTTAGCAGTAATGTCCTAATTGCCATGTACAGATGAATCTCAATTGACTAAATTAAATCATCCAGTTCCATTTAAAGTAAGCACCAAAATGTTGAGCCCTGATACCATAACTAGTTGAGAAAATGTCTCTCCTGAATACACCAATCAGAGGCTTTAGACTAAGTGTGAAAAGGTCTTCCATTGGGGCAGCTAGGTGGCACAGTGGATAAAGCACCATCCCTGAAGGCAGGAGGACCTGAGTTCAAATCCGGCCTCAGACACATAACACTTACTAGCTGTGTGGCCCTGTGTGGCCTTGGGCAAGTCACTTAACCCCATTGCCTAGCCAAAAAAAAAAAAAAAAGGTCTTCAATCAACTAGATTAACATGATAAGAAAGTTTCTTCTGGTTGGGCGAGGATATTTGGTCATAGCCTGTGGTTCAGATGTCTGTAAAATATCAAGCCAATTGAGACTCAAAAGATTCAAAAAATGGAGAGGGGAGCAGCTAGGTGGCACAGTGGATAGAGCACCAGCCCTGTAGTCAGGAGGACCTGAGTTCAAATCCGGCCTCAGACACTTGATGCTTACTAGCTGTGTCACCCTGGGCAAGTCACTTAACCCCATTGCCTAGCCCCCCCAAAAAAAAAAATAAAAACAAAAAGTGGAGAGGGAAAGAGCAATCCTACTAAACCGCTGAGAGGGAATCGTTTGGGGGTCAGGAGGAGATGAGAAGCAAAGCCCTAGGGCTTGGTCACCTCCCTCTCCCTTTTGACTGGAGGAGAACCTCATCGATCCCATTTGGTATCCTAGCAGCATCACTAGATCAGTGATTGGGTAGGGTCAGCATCTGGAACCAAAAGATAACTGGATATAGATTCAAGGCTCTACAAAGAGCCCAGAGGAAAATCCAAACCACACATAACATCTGGGGGCTCCAGCAAAAAAAGTCTTCCAGGAGCCATGAATTTCCTCTCTGCCATATATAATGTCTAAGCTCGGCCCATTTTCCTCTGGATTCTATATGCACTTGTGGGATAGCAGCATATCACAGACTTTTCGGGGGGATGTTTTGTACTGACTTTTCTTATTATCCCATCATAGCAAAATACTTTTTTTTTTGACCAGGCAATCAGGTTAAGTGACTTGCTAAATAATACACTTTTTTAAAAACTGTTTGCATCTGACTGAGATCAAACTCTCAGGGACACTCCTGGAACCCTGAGGGGATATAGCAACCGCACTCTCGGAAATCAACTTTAGAGCACAAGCGGGGTCTGGGGCAGTTGCTGCAGAAAAGTGCTATAGCCAGACCCAAGTCTTTTCTCCTTCTTCATCTGGTAGCATCTCTGTTGAATACCCTCTCTTTGATTCTCCCTCCTCTCTAGGTTTTTGTGACAGTGCCCTTCCCTGGCTCTCCTCCCACCTACCTGATCACTCGTAAGTCTCCTTTGCTAGCTCATTACCCTTATTGTACACACGAACCATGGGCATACTCCAAGATCCCATTCTGGGTCCTCATCTCTTTTCTCTCTACACACTCTCTCATTAGGTGACCTCATCAGCTTCTGTGGGGTCAAGTATCATCTCTATGCAGATGATTTTGAGATGAAATATCCAGCTCTAGTCTTTTTTCTGAACTCTAGTCCCTCATCACCAACTACCCATTGGATATGTCAAAGAGGATGTCCTAAAGGCATTTGAAACTCAACTTGATAAAAACAAAACTCATTAGCATTCTCCTCAAACCCACCTGTCTTCTAAACTTCCCTGTAACTATTAAGGACATCCATCTTCTTTCCAGTTGCTCAGGTTCATAATCCTGGTGTCATCCTCCACCCTTCCCTCTCACCCCATTTGTCCTACCGCTTGCTAAGTCTTGTCCTTTCTATCCCCATGGCATCTCTCACATAGGTCCCCTTCTCTCCACTCACACAGCTGCTAACCTTCAGGCTCCTGTGACCCCTTCCCTGGATTTGCAATAGCCTCTTGCTTGATCTACCTGCCTGAGGTCTCTTTTCCCTGTTATGATCCGTCCTTCATACAACTGCCAAAGTCATTCTCCCAAAGTGTACATTTGATTCTCCTGATCCATACACTCTTACCTCTGGAGATAAAAAATAAAATCCTTTGTTTGACATTTAAACCTCTTCGCCTCCATGGCCCCCTCCCACCTCTCCAGTCTCCTTACCCATTGTTCTCCTCCCTCCACTCTAAGTGTAGCCATATCGGTTTTTTTGTTACACACAACCGTGCATATCCCTTCTCTATGCTGTACACTGGCTGCCCCCCAAGGCTGGAGTGACCCCGCCTCTTTTCATATCCTCTTGTAATCTGTGGATTTCATCAAGACCCAGGTCAAGCCTTTCAGCTGATAGTACTTTTCCCTCTAAAGTTGCCTTGTGTCTGTTTTGTGTGTCGTGTGTGTATGTGTGCATGTGTGTGTGCACCCACGTGTGCGCTCTCTCTCTCTCTCTCTCTCTCTCTCTCTCTCTCTCTCTCTCTCTCTCTCTCTCATGCATGTGTGAACATGTTGTCACCACCACCAAAAAGTAAGTGCCTTGAGGGCAGGGAATGTTTTATTTTTGTTTTGGTATCCTAGTACCCCTGCAGTACCTGGCCCGTAACAGATGATTAGCAAATGCCCATTGATTGATTTCAACCACCCTATTTTAATTTGGCATCACTTTATTTTGCAAAAACTTTTTAAAGAGGAACTCAACTTACTTCCCTTACTGCTTTCTGGTCTAAGGTTTATTACAAGTATCAATGGCATCAATATTTGGTACCTGGAGAAAGAGTTTATAAAGAACAAAGAACTTGCAGCAAAAGTTAATTATTACTCTGCAATAATTCAATAGATTTAAATAGTCAACTATCTCATCAAACAAAAATGAACAAATGCTACTGTTGTCTTTTATGGTTGTGAGTAGGTGTAGACCCAGAACCATAACTGGGGTGGGACAGCCATAACTTTGGCTCAGAGCCCTGACATCTGAGAGGGCCTACCACCCCAGTGCTTCAGGGTATCATCTGCTAGGGCCCCACCTTTCTCCTACATCACAAAGCTGAAATACCATCACATAGTTGCTTTTACCCCTCACTATTGTACCTTTTCAAGGGTCCACTCTGCCTTTCAGCTTTATGCCCAGTGCCCTGTGGAGTAGATGGCAGATGTGAGTAAAGTTAATATGTCAACTCAGTCACCTACTCTGCAATGGGAGTGAGGAATAAATAATCCAAAGAGATCAGATTGTCCAGAATCGTGGATTTTAGCTTTGGAATGCCTTTATCTGAAAGATGGACATATAAGAACGTTACTCTTTATATATCTCATATTCTTTCAGGACATTGCTAATGTTTGGCAATGACAGTCTGAGCACTGGTGTCCTTCCTTTTCTGTGCAGAGTAATGGGGTACTACTGAACTGTTCATACCATATGGGGATGTCCTCTCTTAGGTGCATCTTATCCCCCCCCTACCACTAGACAGTAAACTGAAATCACCGAGCCCTGCTCTTACTAAGACTCATTTGATTTTTCATTCACATTCCTTCACTCATTCGTTTATTAAGCACATGCTCTAGACCAAGTACTATGGTAGATGACGGATACAAGGACCAAATGAAGGTCTTTGCCCTCAAAGAGCTTGCATTTTTTTTGAGGTAGTAACATGAACCCAGATAACTGCCTTCTAAAAATACACGTATTAAGCACAAACATACATATTAGAATTTAGAAATCCCTATTTCTGATGCAATAGAAGGAAAGGAGTATTTATTAAGTGACTGCTATGTGCGAGGCCCCCACCGTGCTAAGTGCTTAACAAATATCTCATTGGATCCTCACGATACCTCTGTGAGGTGGGTGCTAGTATCCCCATTTTACAGCTGAGGTAAGCTGAGGTTAAGCAACTTGCCCAGAGTCACACAGGTAGTAAATGCCTGAGGCTGGATTTGAACTCAGATCTTTCTGACTCCAACATTTCACCACCTAGCTGCTTAGGTGAGGCCAAAAGGCCATTGGATTTGGCTATCAATAGATCATTGGAAAGGGTGGTTTGAGTTGAATGACAAGATCAGAAGCCAGACTGCAGAGGATTAAAAAGAAGATATCTGAGCATCTTAATCTAGCCCAGTGGCTAGCCATATATTACTCAGCTAAGGCCACAGGGGATGGTGGCCTGTGCCCATCTGTGTCCTCTACCGGTCCTGACTCTTTGTCCAGGTTCAGCTTAGGGAGCCTGGTTCCGCAACAGGAGAAGCAGATGCCCCATTTTCACAGTTACTGGCTCAGGCCTCCAGCCAGGCTGCTTTAAGAACAATTCTGTTTTTGCTTCTGGTCATAACACCTATACTCGTGCTACTGAATGAAGGTGGAGAAAATCATGCAACTATTCTGATTGGGCACACCACAAGTTGACACTATGTAGTCTACTGGGCCCTCACTACTGCTCAGCAATCCTCTTACGTCTATCTCTCTTATCAATTCACTTGTTTGTCCTTCATTCTTGAAGAGGACCATGACATCAGGGAGATGAGGTCATGACTTGCAAGTGAATTGGATACCAGCCTTACTTTCTCCTCCCGAGCCATCTGTGTCCAGTGGCAAGATACAGATCAGGATGACTGGTGATGGCCTTGGATACAGTGGGAGACCTTGGCCTTTTCAAACTAAGGTCTTTAACAAGTCACAGTTTGACTAAGGCAACACCCATTCGGTGATTGAGGCTAGGT